AATGGGAGGTGGAATAGAGGCACGAGATGAAGACAGAAGGAAAATGGGCTGTAAAATTCAGGAAAGGGACAGTTGAAGAGAAGGCAGGCAGTGGGGAGGGCCCAGCAGGAGCCCTGGGGATGACAGAGTGCCAGGGAAATCCTGCCAGCACACCCAAGGTCAGCCCAACCTCCAGGCCAACTGCCAAGTGCATGGCAGCCCGTGGGAGGCAGGGCTGTGGCCATGCAGCTTTGGAGCAGGTACAGGATGGCAGAGCATGGCTGTGCACCCCTCCTGCCCACGAACAGGTTCTGGGGCACAGCAGGCAGGTTTAGGACGCTCCCCAAGAGGTGACCGGAAGCTTTTCTCTCCTGGCAGGGCTGGGCAATGTGTCCATGCTGAGGGTGCACTCTGCCCTGCTCACTCCTGGGGACAGAACTGGTGCTCAGGGTACCAACTGTGTGCTGGCTTCAAACTCCTTGTGTGACCTTGCACACATCAATAGCATCTAAAATCCAGCTGTAGACAGCTTCCATGTCTTTGTGTTTACTTCTTGTTCCAAAAATGATCCTTTAATGTTGGCTGATTTCAGTGCACAGGGAAGCTCATCCAGAAAAGGTGGTCAGGAGGATAAATGTAGGTCTGGACACCTATTGAGGTTTCCAAATGCAGCTGGAGTGGCAGCAGTGAAGATCTTGGAGGTCTTCACAGACCCTTTGTGCCTTTAGGTCTCCAGTACCATCAAACCCCAGCCCACTCAGTGCCCTGCAGCCTCCTCCTTGTAAAACAAGGTCATTATTGCAGAATACGGGGCTGGACACACCTGAGGGGTTATTTTGAATGAAAAGACCTGGGAGGACAGCAGCCCTCAGCAGCTCTGTAACAATCCACAGAGCATGTGGATGGGATAATCCACAGAGCACGTGGATGGGGTTTAGCTCCTGGAGGGGACTGTCAAAATGGGAATTCTCCTTGGAAGATGAGCCTGTGGAGCTGTGTGTGCTGGGGAGGAGGGCTGGGAGAGCTGAAGCTGAGCCTGCGAGCCCAGTGCCTGCACTCAGGGTCCTCTCTGCAAAGTGTGCTTGCGCAAGGCAGCTCCTGTGGAGCTCAGAGCATGAACTGGGGGAGCCTGGCTGGAGGGTGCCCCACGGGGGAGGCTGGGAGCCCACCCCATCCTCGTTACTGCTGACCTTGGCACGAGCACTGCCTGCTGATGGATCGGCTCTGGAGCTGGACAAGCCCCCGGGGAACCACGGCATTATCTGTTATGTTCCATCAGTGCCTCCCCTGACCCCTCCCAGCTCCAAATGCCACAGGCATCAGGGAAGGAATAAATCTCTGTCTGCTACTGAGAGAGAGAAGGGAGCGAGAGCAGGAAAAAGGAGAGATGAAAAATGTCCTTTTTATGACTCTCACAACAAAGCTGGCCACGTGATTGGTAGCAAACATTACTCTGGGAAAAGGGAGGGAGAGAATAGGGGGGAAAATCAGCAAAAAGCAGCATTGCTTCTCTCCCCTGGAAGGTGCCCAGGGGGAATATAGAGGGGTATGGGTGACCTTTGAAGGTAAATATCCCAGGAAAAGAAAGGAAAGAGGCCTCAAAGCTTCAGAGAGCTTGCTGCAGTGTCTGAGGCTGCCTGCTGAAACACTGCATACACCGTGAGCAGAAAGCAGAGGCACAGGAGATCTGAGTTAGAGCAGCAGCAGGGCCAGGCAGTGATTAACAAGACACTAATAGCAACCACAGCTTTGGTGCTTGTTTCATTTGGGATGGTACAGGAGAGCTCCAGCCTGTGAGCCTAGGGAGAGCTCCTGACCCTGGTGTCTCCAGGAGAGAGAAGCCTTTAGCAGCACAGCCCAGGGCCTGAGGAGGGGCCGTAGATGAGTGGTGAGGGCTCAAGAAGCCCCTTGCCCATTACCCAGTGACCCCAGCCACGTTCTTGTGACAGCAATTTGGGTTATTTGAGTTATTTGGGTTCCCAGGGAAGCAGCTCAGCCCTGAGGCTGGCGCCAGCTGCAATTCCCACTGTGCAGAGAGCTGCAGACTGGGCAGGGTCTGCACTGGGGTTCTGGGCTGTCCCAGAGCACCCCATCACCAGGCTGGGTGTCCCAGCTGCTCTGGGCTGTCCCAGGGCACCCCATCACCAGGCTGAGTGTCCCAGCTGCTTCCAGGGCCATGGAAAAGCACCTTTGCTCCCTGGCCTCCTCAGCCCCACTGTCAGTGCTGGGAGATGACAGGCATGTGCTTTTCTTGCTGAAAAATTCACTGGACCCAAGAAGTTAATAGACCTCTAGATCAGATCTTTTGTTTCTTAAAGACATGAAGTGCTTGGAGTTGTGCAAAAAGACCTTTTGCCAATTTTCTTCTGCCCCCAGACAAGCACATGCCTCACTTGGGAGCACCTTCCCAGGTAGCAGCACTGAGATCCCAGTGAAACAGGGCTGAGAGTCCAAACCCAACTGAAATCCATTGACAACCAAGTCATTTTTAGGAAAATGGGTCTTGCTGTGACCAAGGATCAGCTTGTCCTGGGAATGCTCACCAAAGCTGGTCTCTCTAACTTGCCAGTCATGGAAAAGTGTATTAAACTCCCACTTTTACTGAAATGCCTGTAACAACTCCTTGATAATTTGGTTTTATCTATAATGTGCTTTTAAAGTAAAGGGATAAATACAATCAGTCTGCATAAAAGGTAGCTATTAAGGAGAAGGCAAGTTGTACAATAATAACTTTCAATTAAAAGCCCTTTCTCACTACTTCTGCCGTTGTGGGGTCTGCAGATTTTCCTTAAAACTTTTGAAGGATGCCTGGGCTTCTTACAGGCAGCCATTTAACCTCCGTTTATGAAGAAATAAAGCAAAATTGATGTTGATTTTGGCCTGCATTGGGGGATACTTTTGCAACATAAAAGCCCTTTTGCCTGCAATTTGCAGAGCAGCCCTGTCACATGGATGAGGGCTGATACTGATAAAGATAAAGCTTTATAGCTGGGACATTTGCAGCTAACAGCAAGCTAATGCTACATTTTCATTTTGATGCAATTAATGTTAATGTCTGCTACGAAAATTGTCATTAAATACCATTTTAAAATCCATTCAATTTGCATATGCAAAGCCCATTTACTATCATGTAAAATACACAGTGTTGTTCATCATGTCTTTTCTCTAGAATTTGTAGCTGTTATTTTTCTAGTAGTGATTATTAGCTAGCTCTTAAAATAAAAACCTAATGTCTGGTCCAGACCTGCACAGAGCAAGACACCCCCCTGGGCTCCAGGACTTGGAGAGGCTTTGAGCACTGGTTTGTGCTGGAGTTGCACTGGCAGGGAGAAGCTTTTTTGCCTCTGTCCTGCTCCATTCTCAATTTTTGCCCAATGCAGAGCAATGAACTAGGTGGAAGAGAGAGTAGGATAAAGAACTTTGAAGTGATCTTTAACTCCACCAGAGCATTTCTACCAGTGCAGACAGGTAGAAATGCTGTTGCTCTGGTTTTCTGACCCTGGGATGCCAATTTTCTGGCAGACAGCTCTTCATGTTCCTTTAGATTAAAGGGTTGGTATTGAAGATATTTTTAAGAGGCTTCAAGCCCATAATACTACAGGTGAAATGAGGCTGTGTTGTGTCACGTACGTTAGATTCAGGTAGTTGATTATCTGACAGGAGTATTGTAGGAATGTGCCCCCTGTTGACGGAGTGACAAAACTATCCTTTGTTTCCTTAAAAAAGGAAATAAGCCCAGAAGTTTCTCTCCTCAATTAGGTGAAAAGAAACCTCATAGGATCAGGGGGACTTCACCTCAAACTTAAGAACAGCAAACTGGACAGAAGCTAAAAAGTCCTGCCTAAGCAATTTACTAGAATAAAGAAGATTACAAAGGAATTAATCACTTTTGTGAGGTGTTTTACCAGGAGCAAGAACCTCTTGCACCTGTCTTGGGTTTTCTCTGTAAAGAGTTTTGTTATTTTGCCTTTTATTACAACTTTTCTCCTTCCAACACTGCCACAGAAGCCATCCTGCTGATTTTATGCCTTCTAAGGTAGCTGAGCTATCTTAGTGTGATATAAACCTCCAAGAGCTTATGAGACCTGGCTGGAGGAGACCATATATCAGAGTGTGATCAGACATGGATGTGATGCTGTGACTCAGCACATCCAGCTTCAGGACACTTCTCTTTTGGGGACTGTGGTAGCTGAGATTGGAAAGGGATGTAGGTGTGAAGGTAGGTGAGGAAACCCAGGGCACCAGGAATATTTCTCTGTTTGCTCTGGGGTGCTCTGACTCCCAAAGGAGCACTAACTTTAACCCTCATCCATAGAAAAAGTTTCCTAGATATCAATATAGACTAGAATCCACAAAAGTGTAAAATAAATTATAAAGAGTAGTGTAAGATCCACAAAAGTGTAAAATAAATTATAAAGAGTAGTGTAAGTGTATCACTTAGTGAAAAATCTAGGTTTTGAAATTTTTAGTATGTTGTAGATAGAAGCAAAATAGAAAGCACAAAGTGTTGTCCTACGTTTCTTCTTCATGCTTCTTCTTCCTAATTCTTTGTAAGTTTAAGTAGCATTTTGTAATTAAGCAAAAAAGTCCTCATTGAAAACTCTTTGAAATCAGTTATTGAGTTAAAAAAAATAATCTTAGTGTCAGTTCTTAATTAAATAGTTTAGTCTTAAAAACCTTGTAACAAAAAATCGTTAGCCATTTTGTGCCTTCTAATGAAAAGCTGCCAAACTCACAATAATAAAAATATTTTAGTAATAAAAAATAAACAATTAAAATGAAATATTAAAAATTAAATATAAAATAAACAATTTATAAAATAGAAAATAAACCATTTATAAAATATAAAATGAACAATTTGTAAAATATAAAATGAACAATCAATATAAAATTAAAATAAATAAAATTAAATCCAAACACAAATTACTGTCTCAAATATCTTCAATCCAAACTCAAAAAAACCAATAACTGATACTCCCAGAGGTAGGAAGGGATAATTTCATGCTGAGGAGGGCCCTTACCGTGGTGGCTTGCCAAAGGTTATGCCTGGAGGTACCTTGCCCCCATATCTGAGGATGCCCTTGTCCTTGCAGCGGATGTCCATGTAGCCGTAGTACAGAGCAAACTCCCTGGCTTTGGTGCAGCCTTCATCCACAGCTGCACGGCCCATGGCCACGAAATCCCGCGGCATCACCCTCTTACGGGGGTGGGCCTTGGCCTTCACTGTGTCCCAGTGCCCTATGGCTGGAAGGAAATGGAGACAAAGAGGAGGCAACTTGGTTAGATCCTTGATTGATGTGTGTGCACCATGCATAGGGGTCTTGAGGGGCTAAAGTTCATGGCCATGAAGTCCTGAGGCATGACCCTCTTGTGGGAGTGGGCCTTGGCCTTCACTGCATCCCAGTGCCCTATGGCTGGAAGGAAATGGAGACAAAGAGGAGCAAACTTGGTTAGATCCTTTTGGGAAAGCAGATTGATGTGTGTGCACCTTCATGGGGGTCTTGTGGGGCTGAGGTTCATGGACACAAAGTCCTGTCTTGGGGCATGACCCTTTTATGGGGTGGGCCTTGGCCTTCACTGCATCCCAGTGGCCTATGGCTGGAGGTGGAAGGAAATAGAAACAAAAAGGAGGCAACTGGGTTAGATCCTTTTGGGAAAGTTGATTGATGTGTGTGCACCATGCATGGGGGTCTTGTGGGGCCAAGGTTCATGGCCATGGTCCCAGGGCGTGACCCTCTTATGGGGGTGACCTTGGCCTATGGCTGGAGGTGGAAGGAGACAGAGACAAAGAGGAGGCATCTCAGTTAGATCCTTTTGGGAAAGCTGATTGATGTGTGTGCACCTTCATGGGGGTCTTGTGGGGACTCAGGTTCCTTTTGTGAGCTTCATACCCCGTCCCACTGCATCCCATACTCCATCTGAACTGAATGTCTTCTCACCCTCCACCCTGGCTTGCTCAGCATGTCTGATTTTACAGGGAAATTGTCCCTGAGACCACAAAGCTGGAGCCCTGATAAAGTTATGGCAGTGTCCATGTGCATCACATTTTGCAGGTGCATCCTCCCTGCTTGGGTCTGTGTGAGCCTCTGAAAGTTTCCAATGTGACAGAGAAACTTCACTGGTCACCAAGCAATTGGGGTGTATTAATGCAATGTTGGGAGTTCTACACTTCCAGCTTGATAAGAAATATTGAAGAGCCGTGGGAAGGAGAGGAGACTTCCTACTAGCATTAGGATTTTGTTGCAGGCCTGTGGTTTAGGGGCAGTGTCCTACCTTCAGGGACTCCTCCATCTCTCTTGTGCATGTACATCCCATAGGTAAAATCAGGGCCTGGCAGGGAGTAGCAGTTCCTCATGGGCTTTCCAAGTTCTGGCTGCAGAAAAAAGAATAGAGAAGCATATGGGACATTAACAGAGAAGCATAAAGACCTTTTCTGATAAGATAAAGCCCCTGAAAAGAGAAGTTTGTAACAGAACACAGCCACAAGTACCAGGAGTTTCCAATTGGCAAGGGCTTGAATCCCACTGCAGAAGTGAGTGCCACAGTGCATAAAGGAGCCTAAAGAATGCTGAATTTCACACAAGTTAGGCTTTGAGTTATAAAGAGACCTACCCTTGCTGGAAATAGGGATCCTGACTCAATAGATATGGATTTGAAATCTTCTTGTTTGGTTAATCTCTCCTTTGGTGGGGATGCCCAGCTGAGGTGTCTGCAGCTGGTCTTAACTTTACTTTGAATTATTTCATTTCCAAATTGTGCATCCTCCCAAAAAACTGACAAGCTTCCCCAGGCACAATCACATGGCTGCTCCTGTCTGGGAATAATCAAGACACAAAGCATGCTGGAGGAGGAGGAGGAGAAGGGGGATGAAGAAGAGAGAGCAGAGTGAGGGTTAATAACCCCTGTCCAGAACAGGCACCCTGCCAGAGGACTATATTGAGGTCTCCAAAATGTGCTTGTGATTCCACTAAATTTTACACTTCACACTCTAAAGGAGGTGTGGCATTTCCACTGCTTTCAGAAGCACAATTTCCCCAGAAAATGAATTTTTGGGACCTGCCCTGTCTGAAACTGCAGCTCATTTGTTGCAAACAGCCCTTTCTAAAAACCATCAACCCAGGGATGTGATGCAAGCACGGCTGCATTTCCTCACATCCCTCCTGTGAGCCAGGAGCACAGGGAGGGACTGTCCCCTGTCCAGTATGAGGGGACTAAGTGGGGTTTTAATGCCACCGGGGCTGCAGTGGCAGTGACAAACCCTGTGTGCACTCTGTGTGTGCCAGGAGCTCATGCAAAGCTCTGCCAGCTGGGATAAAGGAGCTTTCACTGCTGATCTGCTCCTCCTGTATTTACAGCTATTTTTAGGGTGGTTGTGCAAGGGAAATGGTGAAATGTTCCTCAGAAGCATGAGAAAAGGTGTTTTCCTGGGATCACCTTCTGATAATGGATCAGGGAAGTGAGGTCAGAAATCTGCTGTGGTGGCAAAGGTGTGTCAGATGGGAGAAAAATCACTGAGAAACTGCAGGGCAGGAGAGAGGTTTGTAACCTGTGGCAAAGCTGCTTCCAGACCCTCGAGTGCAGAACTCTGAAATTACATTTAAATTTATTTATTTAAAGAGTCCCTTCTGCAGAGCACCTGAAGTTAAAACAGTTGGGTGTTTACTCCATCACAAAATGAGTGCATGCTGTTTCTTTTTATGATCAGGTGGCATTTTACAGTCACTTTGCACTGAATAAATAAAGCCGAAGGTGCTGGATAATTAATTAAAAAAAAAAATCTGGTCCAATATGTTGAACATGGGGAGAATCTGTGCCTGAAGAAAAATCAATGAGCTCACAAGACTCTGGTTGCCTGCCAACATTTTTTACCTACAAAAGCAAAGAAGGGGAAGGATGTAGCAGGAATGAATCCCGCTCAGTGTAATCCACAATTACAGCCTTTCTCATTCATAAATTAGCAAAATGCTTCTTCCAGCTCATGGGCTGGTTTCATTTGTTTGTCCTGAGGCATTATAGGTGTGCTCTGTCATAAAGCAGAGGGGAAACTGAGCCAGAGTTGATGCAGAAGGTCTTTTATTTTTTCCTTTCTCCCCCAGTTCCAGCACTGTTCCCTGTGTTCAGGTTTAGCCTGTCACAAAGCTGCTTGGCTGGAATACAGATCTGTCTGACAGCTGTGCCCATCAGCAGACAACTTCATTAAACCTCATTAAGATGTCATTTCTCTGCCTTATTTCCCACCTCTTGGCTCTAATTAAAACCGTCTCTCTCTGCATCCCAGGCGGTCCTAATTTTCTCTGGGTACCTTCTGCAAGTTTTCTCCCTTTACGACCTCGGTGAGGAAAATCCAGCATCCTAAATGCTGTTTATCCAGCCAGTTTGGAAAAGACAGCTCTAGACCTTATCCTGAAGCATTCCCAGAGCACCCAGCAGAGATCAACACCTCTCAGGGCTGTTAGAAATGATCACTGAGGCTTTGTTTGCTCTCTCAAACTGTCTTAAGGGCTTGGCTGATGCATCCTTTCCCCCTGGACATGATAATTTCCCTGGTGTGTCTGGGCTGGGTTTGGAGGGTGCCATGCTCCCACTGGTCATGGTGCAGTGCTGGGGGTGTTTGATCAGTGGGAATCCCTTGGTTGGCTGAAAAATCAGTGTTGTTGGGTGTACTGAGTTATTCTGAGCTTTTGCCAGGTAGTTTCTGATCTCTGCAGCCCTGGGCTTGAGCCTGGATTTGTATTTAAGGGTTGGAAAATGTTTGCTGTGGAGGAAGAGGAAGGCTCTGAAAGGGGTCTGTTTCTAGAAGTGGAGGCATTGCAAAGGTTTAAAGAAGTGCAAAATTTTCAAGGATTCCAGGTTTTGTTGCAAGACTTATTTGTGCTCTGTCCCCTGGTGCTCATGGCCCAGCAAAACACATTGCATCAATTTTCTGAAGATGACTGAGAGAGCTGGGAGACATGTCCACACAGAGAGGTCCAGAAAGAGACTGAGATGAGGATTTTTAATCCCTGCCTCCACAGCTTTCCCTGGGAGGGGCTGCTGGGCAAATCCCTGAATCCTATGAGTGCTCCGACTCAGCCCCATCCCCTCCTCTCTGGCTCTGCCCTGTGGACACCTGCAAACTCTGTGCTGGTGCATTTTCAGCCTGCCAGGCCCTGCCTCCTTCCCACCTTCTGTTCCCCTTTTCATTACACCCCCTTGTACAGTAAAGCCTCCCGTCACGCTGCCATTACTATTATTATTGCAGATTTACTGCACTTGCAGAGTGAAGTGATTGCAGTGACAAGGCCCAGCATTTTTCCCTCCTTCCCCCCACGACAGCTTGAAATCAAGCCCTTCATTTGCATTTACATGATCTTGCTGTGCAGCTTATGAGATCGGGAGATTTATTTGCTACTTAGCTTGATGTTTGATTACACTCTAAGAAGGCAGTGAGCTACAAAGTGCAGGGATACATCAGAACTGAGCTACTGAAAGCCTCTGGGGGACAGTAACTCAACATCAGGTTTAGGTAGATGAGAAAGGGAATGTTCAGTGTTTTGAGAAAGGCAAATTTGATGAGATTTTTTTTAAAGGTGGAAGGAAAAACTTAGCTTTTTTTTTTTTTTTTGTGGTGAGAAAGTAAAACAAGAATGTTGTTATAAAAACACACCTGAAAAATCTGGGTTTGTTAGTGCAGAAGAAATCCTAGCAGGGGCTGGTGGCTGCTGGGCTGCCTGGTGCCAACTGCTTGTAACTTCCACTGTCAAGAAGATTATTAATAATAAGTTGGCAGTTGTCTTCGAAGCTTTTCATAAGCATTAAAGGTCAGAGCCAAAGGAAGTTTTGCTTGATGGACTACCACAAGATCTGTCCCTGATTTATTAAGCTTCAAAGCATGCCAGTGATCATTAATACTCTGTAATAAAGGGGAAACTGAGGCAGGGAATCAGTGTGCCCATGCAGGACAGCAAAGGGAATGGAGTTTGGACTGGGGAGAGAAGTGAGTGAGATCAAATCATTCTGGTCTTCTATAAGAAGAATCTTTCTCTTTCCAGAGAAAAGGGTGATGCTTGGGCAAACTGCTGCCCTTGCAGCCAGAAATGACAAAGCTCAAGGATCTTGCTGTGAGTTTAACTCCTTTCGTTACAAACACTCCAGACAGATCAGCCAGAGTACATCCACAAGTGCAATCTCCACTAACCTGTGCTCCTCACTGACCTGCCCTGGGAGCTCCAGCCTTATTAGACACCAACCTTTGAGTGTCAGGTGTGGAACTGAACCATTTTCCCCTCTAGAAGCCGTGTTTTGTGTAAGGCCAGCAGCAGAGCTGTCCCCCTTTGCTGGTTAGAGAGGACAATGAGAGAAGACAGGCAGCCCTTCCAGCCCATATTCTCCTTACACAGCCCCTTGCAACGTTCCCTTGCTATTTTTTTTCTCCCAAAAAAGCAGGAACACCAACAAGCAAAGGCCACACACAGAGTCAGACACAGAAACCCCAGTCCAGGCAGCACCCACTGTCTGATACACTCACTGCACTTTCCAACTGTTTGCACTTAGCTTTTAGTCTTGAAAATTGCCATGAGATATGCTATAACAATTAATCATTAAAGACTTAAGAAAGAGTATACCCCATTACATAAAAGACTCCAGTGATGATCTTTATCCAACTTGTAAAATGGGCAGACTTGATGCCACTGAATAATTTCCCTCTCATCTGCACAAAATCATGAATGCAAGTCAGACTTTGAACCTGAAGTGAACACTGCGAGACCAGCTTATAATTACCAAAACTGAAAAAAAGAACAGCGTTTTCTAATGAATGACAAGCCACTAGGTGGAAATCTAATTTGGTCTAATTAAGCAGCCTTTGTGAGGATTTGTCTTTAGATGAAAAGAAGGAGCCAAAGAGATCTAAATGCAAATGAACTCTATCATTTTGGTTTTAAAGGGCCAGGCAGATATGAAAGTATTTGTGTACACAATCTTCATGGGTGTATTCACCTTCTAGTTTTCCACTGAAAAATTCTGTTTGTCCCAAAATTCTGAGACTCTGAATATTAGTCACTGTTTAGGGAGTTAGCAGATAATGATAATGTAACGGAGTTAGCAGTACAGCATTGCAACAGTTAAAACTGCAATTCTCTGTAACAAGAGTGCTGTTCGAAAATGGCTTTAGAAAAAAAAAATTAAAAAGAGATTTTTTTTGCTAAGGAGTCATCTCCCAGCTCTGCCACTGTGGATGTGTGGCACTGTATAACTCTCAGGTCTTCGGGGGCACCTGCTGGACCCTGAGCTCCTGCTCAGCTCCTCGGTGTCAGGATGAATTACTTCAGCATTGATAAATCACCAACACCTTGCCCAGTTGTGCTATTTCTGCTGATTCTGCCGACAGT